CAACGAACAGCTATCTGTAATGTTTTCATCATCTCCTAGGAAGCAATCAGGAATACCATCGAGAATTCGACTTAAGGAAAGACATTTTGACGAATTTGCACATCGAAATGGTTTTGATTTCGGACACTGATCATATGTATTCACTATAGTTGAACATTTGAGAAAAAAATTCAATATAATATATTCCAAAGATTCCGGTAATTTCAATTCTTTATCTAAGTTCAATTCAGATAAAGTTCGACAAGTTAAATTATTTTTCAAAATAGTAGCCGGAAGCCATTCACATAATTGTTGATCGTAACATACATAATGAGGCAAAAGGAGATTATATCGATATTTATTTGTGAAATTCTTTTCATAGGCAAAGCGTACATGATTCAATATAATTGATTGAGCAGGAAAGAAGAAAAATGTTGGACAATTTTGTCGAAAAAGACTTTCACTAATATTCTTTTCTCTACATTTCATTTCATCGACAAGATCAAAACGATTATCAAAATAAACGCTCAAACAAATCATACTTATCCAACAATCAAAAGATAAATGAGAATTCGCATTCCGAGATAATTTTGCTTGTAATAATAGAAGATGACGATTGTTAGTACATGCTTTTACACTACAATCACCATTAGCACATGGAATCCATCGTTCATTTCGACATGTTCTCTCTTCACACCTGAATGATGGATCCAGTTCGCAACGTTGGTAATCATTATTTGCGTCAGCGCCTGAACTTATTTCATCTGAACTGTCCATACAATCTGGACCGAACGTCTCATCGCTAAAAAATTCTTTTGGAATGCAAAATCCATTACTACAGCGAAATTCATCCTCCTTGCATTCGTTTGTAATTAATTCTTCACAACCAAATTCATCGTTACCTCCATCCAAACAATCGATCTTACCATCGCATATTTCTCTCCAGTCGAGACAAGGTGGTGCTGAACCTCGATCACATTTTAAGAATGTATAACATGGTCCACGTTGAAATAGATAATTATGTGAATAAGCTGAACTAAAAGATGATACAAGTTCTTTAAATGTTAATGTCGAATTAAATGTATATTGACAAAATTCACCAAACCATGGTATCGAACAATTATAAAATATTTGCATCGATGAAGACAAATGTGGATTTTCGAGAAAAGCTTGATATCTTTCGACAACATCAATAGGTGCAAATGATAAATATAATTTTTCACTTGTTATATTATTTTGTTGCAATGTTTCAAACGTAATTGATGTTCCATGAATAATATGTGTTTCGTTATTGATCAGTGAATTGTTTGAAAAATTCAATGAACGTATACAATAAGGAATTATTTGATAAGGAATATCCATCTTATTTCCAAAAAAGATATTTTGTGGTATATCATAACCGACATTATATAACAAACAGTCTTGATACAAGGCATCATGACTAAGCCGATCCGTATGATAGAGATGAAATTGAAGTTCAGTCATTGAGACTTGCAACATGATTACGAGCAGATATAAAAACCAATCAAACGTTCTAGGTTGCATAATGTTAGATATATATGGATCAATCTTGAATCAAGTTTAAATCAGTTTTTTTTTGTCTGAAGCTCCTTGGATAATTGAGTATAGTATATATACACATCTATAAATCTCCATTCTAATATTATATTCAGGCGTCTAACATCGATCATTAATCATATATGTGCATTTCTGACGTTTTCTTTGCTAAACAAGCTTTTCTGATTTTTATGCTGAATGCTATTCTTATAATAAATATGTCCAAAATGGCATTTAATACGTGCTTTGACAGAAAGAAGAATCGAATGAATTAAATTATAATAACATTGATGTAATGCAAAGATCTATCATAATTTTAGCGATGACGCACATAAACACAATCGATCATTAAAAACAACAAGATAATCACGTAGCCTTATTTCTCTCATTTGAGTTGAAGCAACATTAGGATTAACATATGGCATTTGATCGAGTCGCTTTATTTCTAGTTGAAAATTCACATCAGATCTCTCACATTCCGTGATGGAATTGCACTGCAGTATATCAAAATATCTATCACAGTCTGTATGAAGACTCATTTGTTCACATTGAACCAATGAAGAATAACTTTTTCTTATATTTCAAAAATTCAAATTTATTGAAATCTGAAAGTTGAAAAATCTACATGCAATGCCAAAGTTTGTATTTTTTTCCTTACTCTATTGACAAATGGTTTACGATCTGTCGAGTGGCATGGAAGTTTCATCTTTTCTACTCTCTATACATGAGCATTCAGTGTCTTGGTATTGATTTTTCTAAGAAAGTAAAAAAAAACAAAACATCTCATCATTATTACAAATTACGTAGTTTGATATACAGAAACCATTAACGCTCGCATTATTCTCTGAAGCACTTGCATATGATAGAGTGTGAATGTAACAAAGGTCTATACACATACATAATCTCAAGTCATATCAGCTTATATTGTCTTAAATTTTTTCTTATTGTAAGATTCTCTATATATACATGCAAAATATAATCGAAAACGGCATGGATCAGTTGAAAACTTTTCTTTATGAATGCAAACAATATTTTTCTTACTAAATGCTTTTGATTCTCTTCAATGACATTTAAGTGTCTAAAGAAAAGAAAAAGGACTAGTCGACATATTTACTAATATCTTCTAATTAAGTATTTTATTCAAACTTCAATTTTAGTTGCTATCAAAGAATTGTTCTTGATGGAATTTCTGAGTATATTTTCAAATCTATACAATAACAAAAAGAAAAATGAAAATGAAATTTTATTTATTTTATTCTAATTTTAAAAGACTTCGGTCTCGAATATTATCATACATTCGTTTATTAACAGTATTTCCCAATGAATCTTCAATTTTTGTTTTGCGAAAAAACCTGTTAGCGTAATCTCTTCAGGATTAAAATATGGAACATGATGTAGTTGTTGTTACTAATCACGAGAATATTGTTTTATTCGATCTATGTTTGGACTTTGTTTTTTTCATCATCTTTCACTTAATCCTCTAGAACTGCGATAAGGAGATAGTTTATATATTCTTATGAGATATTAATAATATACGATCAGTAATCATGTATTGAAAATGCCTGTCACGGTCTGCGAAGGGAAAGGAGAGGAGATGAGAAGTCCAAATTTCTACTCCTACCCATTTTAACACTCCTTTTAGATCATGCTTCACAAAAACGTGACATCAATATTAAAATAGTTGAAATAAATCAACTCATACATCTATGTCTAGTTTCAATCATGCATCATTTTTATTATGATCTCATTTAGTCGATGATAATAAAATTTCTTCAATTAATATTATAGTTGAAAAATGTTCTGCTATTTCATATATTTGTCATTTGTGAGCATAAAAGCAAAATTCAAAAACTGTTCTAATTTAATTTCAATATTTCTTTATTTAAAATTCTTTAAATACAAAACAATCTTAAGTCTCGAATTTTCATTATTTAAATTTTTAAATATTTACAGATAACAATTTTAATGCAACTTATTTTTCAGTTTTACTTTTAACTAACTGCAATTTGTAGAATTCTCTAGGTATAGTTGTTACTATGAATGTCATGAGCTTTTTTTTGAACTTGAGTACATCATCTGATTACATTATAACAGGGAATTAGACATCAAATGGACACAAACTAATCAAGTTGCAAAAGCATTTATGTACAAAAATCAAAAACGCAGAAAACGATGTTTAAAAAATAGATGACCTTAAAATATGCGTGTTGGTAAACGTCTTCTCTTCACCCACACACATACACCTATCCACTCATCTTACACATCCACAATAAACATTGAATTACTACTATAAATTATAATAAATCACTTTACAACGTCAACTTAATCTTAATTAAAACTCTTTCTAGTTAAGACATAATTGATGAGCCTTGCTCGTACATTTTAAGTATTATTTTATCAATAAGAAAAAAATTCAGCGCGTTAATATCTATTCAAAATATTTAGTTCTCTGTCCCAAAACTCAGTTTAGGTCAAACTAATAATAATTCCTTATTTCAAGATCATTTTTTATATGCATGTAATTTTATCTGACATTACAATTGAGGATGTGGTTGTGAATGCGAGTACTGGTATGGGCTTGGTTTAAGAAGATACTCACATTCATATCCACACCCTCACCTCACATCCACACTCTTCTCGAAGATGTCATACGCTATGCGTCGGTGTTGGCATTGTCAGTTTTCTATAGTTTTAATGCCTTTTTATGAATTCGGAATTGATACTATTTTCGCGTGTTTCCGTATTACTCGTTTTAGATGGAATATTTTTTTGGATTACTAAGGAAAATATGTAGGTATTCCATGGATGGTGATAGATATTTTATTCTCATTTGCCTATTGGGCCATCGTATCTAATATATGATTGGCCGTCAAGCAAAATAATGACGGAGAGAAAATAAAAGAGATCCTATACTCTTGAATTTAATAGCATTGCATATCATTCACATTTTTCTTTTATAACCTTTGCATATTTGACTCTGTTCAATATTACATGAAGAGAATGATAAAAATATAAAACGCATAGAATGGATATAGGTGAATAAATTATCTCGAAAAGAAGATAAATGACTTATACCGATAATCTTATTGGCCTCTCTTGTTTTTTAATAATCTGGACGATTAATCGTCATTGTGGGTATGGGTATGGGATGGATCTGAGTCTGCAGCTAGGGAAAGACAAGACTAACACCCCACACTACATCCCCCCTCCATCCACTCACACCCATCCTCTTCTTTTTCTTTCATTGCTAATAGTGCTGTTTTAATTTTCATATCAATTGTATACGATATTCATTCATATTTGTTGGCCTTCGATGGGACAAAAAAATTGTTCATGTTAAAAAAAAAAGGAATCAGGAGCTGGAAATTTAGTCTACCACTTGACAATGGAAAATATTCTCATGAATCATGCGGTAGCTTTGTATAGCTTGAATGGATGTCCGATGAAGTTCGTTTCATTGACCACAAACTAAGCGAATACATGACACTTCACATCGAACTTAATGAGCAAGAAAGATAAAAACTCACATGGTGATTCTTCAAGAAATACTTCATAGTATCCATCGGCTCGTATCCTTTTCATGTTACACAGTTGAAGCGATCGCATAATTTCAGTGCCAAATTGTTTATCCGCAAATTTCGTGTATAACCTTGAATCAATCTTTGTCAATCCTTGAATACACAAAACTATGCACATTGTTGAAAACATGTGTCATCAGACCTTCATATACGGAACCCTGCTTTAGTTGAAATAATGTGAGGTGAGGATGTAACGGACGATTATCAAGCCGCAATATTCCATTTTCTTCAAATGTTTCTCGACAAATTGCTGTGTACAAAAGGAACAATAGAGTTAGACGTTTCAATAGAAACAAATATAATATTACTAGCAATTTGTTTGAGCACATCGAGATGTGCATCATTGACGGGATTCATGAACAGAACTCTATCGTTAAAGTTGGACAGGCCAGCAAAGCGAATTTGAGGTGGCACCAGTTGAGCCATGCGAATGCGGTGGCATGCTTTAATCAAACATTGCTGAGCTCTAATAAAGATATAAGCTTTATGATTCATAAGATAGAGTCTTAGTAAAATGTGCTCCAAACCAAGAGGAAAGAGCGGATCCTGGTGAATCCTACAAAATACACCGAAATCCATCAGGATCCATAGAAGTCATCAGAACCTACTAAAACCCACTTTTTCCCTTGCTCAATCTAGTCTGACAACCGCTTCACTCGATTATCAATTGATAGAACTTGAAATTCCACATTCATGAGAACCACTTCAAACTTTTAAAAAAATCTTTGATGACAGAATGACATTCGATTCTTTTATCAAAGGTTTTCTTTAAAAGAGTTTGAAATGATTCTCATGAATGTAGAATTTCAAGTTCTGTCAATTGATAACATCTTCAAGTGAAATGGCGGTCGGACTCGGTTGGAATGTGTTTTATTAATACCCTAAGATACAGATATGAGAACTTGAAAGGGAGTTAGTTCTGAAAAAGTTAGCTCCACATGAATGAATATTCTTGTCATTGCGAAGCAGACATCAGATAATATGCTAGAGTAATAACTAATAAATTCTTTGAGATAATCAGATATTGTGCGTGCTTATGAAAACAAAGGCTCCGTTACTTGTGAAAAAATTTGCTGTTTCTGGGAATTAGAAGTCTCAAGTTTGTACCATAGACTTATACACATAAGATTTATATTTTCCGGGCCAAATAAACTGCAGGCCAAATTTATTTCCTTATTTCTTCGTCTCTTGTCATTCGGAATCATTTTTATTTCGCCTATACATGGTTTCTTCCTCAATCTACATTGGAAGTTTTAGCTATAAATAGTGAGAGTTTGTTGAACAAATTGCTAATGTATCTCATCTGGTATAATGCGAGTGAAAATAAAAAGCTTGTCGGCGCAACCCTAAGAGGTTGAAATGTAGAACTCACATACAATTGCTCTCAGAACTACAGAAAAGGTTTTACAGATGCAGGAATCTCTTTAAAAATCAAGATTATCCAAAACCAAATGCTCCTATGAATCTATTCAAAACAAATACTTTCTACATTTTCGATTTTTCTAGGTGCTCTTATTTCTCTTTCAATTGTCACTATGTGAATACCGATCATTTTCTGTATTTCATTCATTTTTCGTTAGTCATTTCCGGTTATTCCTCTCGACTTATAACAGTGTTTTCTCTTGCTTCGTGCTAGTGCTTGATCATTGTCGTTGAACGACAGTTCCTTCCAGTGATGGAAGAATCCATGGGTATCTAACCACTTTTCCCAAAAAGAAGTGGTTGGATACCCATGGATTCATCCTGACACTGGTCATTCCTTTCCAAGCATATTGAAAAAATGCTGATTATACATCTTATTGCCTATTGCATCAGTTAATGAATGTGCAACTTCATTCATTAGATTTCCTGTTATTTTGGCAAGTTCCAGAATACTCTAACAACGACTTTTCTCCTTTTTATTTTCTCGATATAAGAGATGGAGGACAAAGCCTGAGAGCGAGTGGAAGTGGCTGTGAGTGGGTCAGAGTGAGGACAAGTGACTTCTTTGCACCTTCACTCTTACTTACCCTCAAAACCTTGTTTTCTCAAGGAATGAACAGGATTGAGAATCGGGTAAGAATGGAATAAAGCAATAGAGAAATTTCCTAAAACAGAACATCTTTGCTTCTTTATTTACGAGCAAAGTTTTTTGAATGAAAACTTTTGTTCCTTTATGTGGACAACTTCTCGTATTACTAATTTTGTTACGCCCTGCTCTTATTATTTATTGTTTGGTAATGTGTGGTCCTTCTTATCACTGTTTCAGCGATGGTAGTAAAGTAATGTGACACCCTAATCTAGATTTCATGGGAATTGCATGCTTCATTGTACTCATGTTTTGATTTTTAATAACAAAAGTCAAAGCATACCTCTCTATTGAGGCCTTTCATGAGATCATGATAAGTATATTTTGAAACTATCATGGTGTCGTTTATAGTACCTACCTTTGTTTATCTTCATCGTTTTTCAGTTCGAATACCATGAGTGTTATGTGAAGCTTCGCAATGGAAACACTAGCTTGTGAGAGAAGTGGATTTGATTGAATGATTTCCTTCTGAATTTCAGCGGCATGATGCACAATCTAGACGTGGAATTACAGATAGAAAAGATTCTACTTTCAGTTCACTCACTTGTTGATTCATGATTCGAAAAGCTAAAAAGGCGTTTGGACGTTCTTTTTGTTGCTTGTCCTTCTTAGCTGAAAGTTTCATTTTTTTACCAACAGATTACTGTAACTGGTGACCAAAAATGTACTTACTTTCCGTAGCTACCTGTAATGCTTTTTTGCCAGGGCCCGTGACCAAATCTTGATCTTTAGTCGTCGAGATTTTTTTTTTTTCAAAAGATGCCATAGCAAATATCTGAAACAGAAACTATTGAAAGCCACATCAAAGGGTGTGGATGTGAGTGTGAGTGAAGAAAAGATACACACTTACACCCACACCCACACCCACACCCTGATTTAATCGATGAAATTCAGCCACTTCGATTAAGAGCGCACCGCGTAGAGTTACGGTATTTTCCATCGACGACGAATAACCAGACGAAATGAATAGAGCAGCAACGTCAATCTTATCATACGATGATGTGTCTTTCTACTTACCGGCAACTCAGTCACCAAGCGTCAGAACATCCGATTCACCTTGCCATAAGAGAAGTCAGTTGGCACAATCGAGCTCGTTTCCACCTTGTGTTCAATATTGACCATTGATTCACAGTGCAGCATGATCAAGTGTAACAACAGCAGAGCCGACCGAATCCAAGAATCCCATTATCTATGCTCGCCGAGTGTCGTACTGTTGCACATATTCACTATGATGTTCATCGTTGGAGAATATAACATATACATACAAACTAAGACTTCTCATTCGAGCCCGTTGTTGCGATAATTTTTACGCTGTACTGGCTTGAGATTGTGTTACAGCACAACTATAGTTCGTTTGTTGACATGCCACAAATCGAAGGTTGTCAGCGAGAAGAGCAAGATAGATCACGAAAATGCCTATTATCGTCTACTGTCTGCCTTTCAACCTGCAGCGATTGAGTGTAGTGATGTGATGTGATATGTGATGTTGGTATTCTTTTTACTTCTATTATGACTGTGTTTTTATTATTTCTCGTTGTTCTTTGATGGCCTCGTGTAGACGCCGACAAAACAAGATTGAAAGAAAGAAACGCGAGACAAGTACATGAAAACAAGTGTAACAATACTTTCGCCCTTTGTAAAGATAAAGATAATGATCGCTAAATAAAAACGGGTGGAATTGAAGTAGCTTTATCAGTCCTGACAACATAGAATTTTATTTCAAAAACAGTGTGAATAAGTAACTCATACAACGTCATTCGTAGACATCTCAAATGTATTGATCTGAAAGGTTGATATTTAAATAATGGAGAATTTTCTCCTATCGAAATAGTAGTCGACTGTCATGGCTTTATGTCTTATTCTACATCGAGGCACAAGGATGCTATCAATGGTTATATGCAGGATGTCAATGTTTGAACTCATTTTACTCACACCCTCAATATCCTGATTGTGACTTTCATTGTAGTTTCCAATTCAATATTGTAAAGGTACTGAACGTCTCACAGTCGTCGGGTGTGGGTATGCATCGTCTCCTCACGCATACCCACATCCTTAAATTAGATATGAAATATGTAGCTGAAGTGTAGTCTTTTTATCGAACATTATTCTTAAATAGCAAACAAAGTTTAGACCGCAAACCAATAAAAAGAAGTGAATGATAAGAATATTTCTTACAAGGAAACATTTCTAGGCGTTGGAGAGCTTTTCAGTCGGAGCTTAGTACATCTTGTAGACCTTGGTGAACTATGTCTACTCTGAAAAGAATTCATGTCCATGGCTTGTTTCTAAGAAGACCGAACGTTTTTAGTGAGTTTCGGCTATAGGACTCGATATTTGCACCAGTGGCGTAGCCAAGGGAGGGGCAAATGGGCAATTGCCCATTTCATTTGGAGATTTACCCATTGAAATTTTTATTAGTAAGTTTTTGCCCGTTGAAATTTTACTTTTTCAGAATTGTTTATTTATTTTTGAACTAGATAGTAACCCTACTTTTTTTCTTCCATCTCAATCCTACATGTACTTTTTGCTTGTTCCCTCTGTGCAGAATGAAGAAAAGAATCGCGTCTGGTATTTTCACCAGGGTTACCCATGTAAAAATTTTTGCTAATCTAACGAAACTTTGTGACATCAAAATTCGTTAAAAATTTAACGATTTAACGATTAAAAATGTTACAATTTTGATCATGAAAACGCGTTAAAAGTGCGCAAAATTAACGCGTTCTCAAATTCTAACGATCTTTTTTTCGTTAGATCAATAAGTTTTTAATAATTCTTGACACGTGAATTTATTGAGAAACGCGTTAAATACGAAAGCTGATTAATATATTATCCCTCAGAATTTTTCATACATTCTTATTTACTGCAAGTATGATGAACTTCTTTCAATGATCAATATCTTGCTTAGCTTCACTCGTCCGAAGAAAAAAGTCTAGCTACTCAATTCAATATTTGATATACTTTCTAATAAGATGCTTCAGAAAGCATTGTTGTCACTATAAATATTTTGTAATAGCTAGCAAAACCACCGAGGAAATACAATATATTGTTTTATTTTGTCGATATCTCGAAACTAAAACTATTTATGGCTTTACTTGCTACAACTTTGCATTCTTGTATGTACCAGGAATGTATTTAATAGTCGGCAGAAATGATAAGACTATTACTAGTTTAAAACCTAAGATATCGACAAAGTAAAAAACAAATATTGTACTGTTTGATTTGTTTCGCTATCAATTATAAAATATTTTTAGTGGTAATAATGTTATCTTAAGCATCTTATTAGAAAGTACATCTAATATTGAATTGATTAGCTGGATTTTCCTCCTCAGACGAGTAAAACTTAGCAAGATATTGATCATTGAAGAAATTTCATCATATTGGCGGTGAATAAGAATGTATGGAAAATTCTGAGGAGTAATATATTCATTAGCTTGAACTATGGAAAGATAGATTACATGAACTAATATAATTTGATTATCGCCTTCCTCTTAACTTAGTATACCAGCTTACATATTTAACAGAGATAAACCAGTCATATTTTTCATATTAGATCCAGATTCTATAAGCGAAAAACTTAACTCAGCTCAACTCAATAGCGTAAAAGAGGAATTTATATCAATACACACTCATATAGGTGGCATGTAGCTCGAGTGAGAAAGTTAAAATATCACACGTGTGAAAATGAATGCAGCATTTAACGATATATAATGAGTTAGTTACCATTACAATGACCATCACGTGTGAAAACACGTGAAAAATCTAACGCGTTAAAGCGAATTTTCCAAATCTAACAAAAATTCATGAAAATTTTCTTCGTGAGACTTCATTAATTTACCTTTTAAGGCGGCTTATGACCTTAACTGAAGCAATTATTTCGCTAAACTTTTTTTTTATCATACGGAGAAGAAATGATGATGTACGAAGTACAGAATTACATTCCTTCAGATATAAAACCCATAGTATAATTTTAAAGAGAAAATGAAAGAGGATTATCTTTGTCTAGGATTAATTCAAGTGGTTTTGCTAGCGATTAATACAAAGTTGAGATTTCTCTAAAGGAGAGCTCTGCTTAATCTGATAAAAAGCTTTTGATATCTGGATTGATATAGTTCACAGAGACACTTGATATTTCGTAAATATAAGTCTTTCAAGATGATTTTTGTGTAATTTGCATAAACAAATATGTTACTCAAAAAATCATGAATATTGTACGCATGAAAACGATTAGTAGATTGAGTGATGTATAATTAAATGACGTTCGTTAACAATTAAAATTTTCATTAAAACTCGTTAAAATATTTCACTCACAAAAACAGTTACTAGATTTAACAAGAATCAATCAGTTAAGTTTCGTGAAAAATACAGAAATTCATGAAACCGTGTTAATATGTTTAACGCATGAAAATGAATACCAAGTTTGACGATATTTAACATGATAAGATTGGTTAAAAACAAAAAAACCTCAAGAAATATCGTTAAACTTCTTAATGCGTGAAAATGAATGCAACGTTTAACGATATATAATGAATTAGTTACAGTTAAAACGATAATCACGAGTGAAAAATCTAATGCGTTTACACGAGTTTTCGGAATATAACGAAAGTTCATGAAATTTTCTTCGTGAAATTTCGTTTATTTGTCTTTTAACACATTTTTTGCGCTAATATTAAGAATCATTTTGTTAAATACCTTTTTATTTTTACATGGGTATAGTATTGGTGCAAATGTCGGGTCCTATAGCCAAAACTCACTAAAAACATTCGATCTCGTCAGCAACAACCTATGGGCACGAACTCTGCTCAGAATAGATATAGTTTACCAAGGTCTACAAGATGTACTAAGTCCTGACTGAAAAGAGCTCCAATAACTAGGAATGTTTTCTCGTTAACATTCAAGAGTTATTCAATAAACAGTTGAGGACATTTTTTAAAAAGACAGATATTAGTGTTAGTATAACGTTTAGATTTATAAATGCAATGCTTAAAATGCCAAAGAAGTCTTGAATATGTTTATAAAATCCTAAACAACAGATAGTCACAACAACAATGAAATAATTTGGTCATTAAATGTCAAACGTTTATTTGATGATGGGTGACATTAATTTGTAAAGTTATATTTATCTGGAATGAGTTGCGTTGTTTAATTGATGACATTTGATCTAGATATAGAGAAAGTCTCTCGATCGATGATGATCAAAGATAGTCGGATATGGTCGCTGTTCTCCTGCTCCCCATTGACAAGGATCAGGATAGAGTGTTAGGTTCCATTTTTTCGCGAGTAGGCTCAAAATGGATTGATCATGTCGATGGTCACGAAATTCTGGGTAGTTTGGTGAGCCAAGAACATTTGCATCGTCCGTTATTGCTCGACTGTCCTGTGCATAAGTCAACCATTCAGATACAAAACTCATGCTCATAAAACTCTTCTTTACTACAATGTATGAAGCTAGGCCAGAACGCGAATTTAAGTATTCTGGTTTGTCAACATTCAGAAGAATCAATGTATCGCGTTTTGTCCAAGGCAATTCCTAAAAAGAACCAATTAAATATATAGTAGATAGTATTATAACTGAAAATAAATTACTCTATCATATATCAGAGACGTCTTTTGATAAAACTTGATGACTTTTCATATATAGATAAAGTAAAACAAGGTGACTTTCAGATTTCCCATGCATTCATTTTTGACGATTATTCATCTTCTATCATTGTCAAATCGAAGATACTATACTTCAAGGCATGCTTTATCTAACTGTATAAGAGACTT